TGGAGTCACAAGTGTGGATGATGTCAATGATGGCATTCAGCTCGCAAGAGAAGCTTGTGAACTTTGTGCCAAAGGTGGTCTTCGATTGCACAAGTTTGTGTCCAACAATAGATCTGTCTTAGAGAGCATACCACCATCAGAGAGATCAGCTGATGTTGGTAACTTTGGTCTAGTCTTTGATGACCTACCATCAGCTTTAGGAATCCAGTGGGACCCAAAGTCTGACTGTTTCAAGTTCAGCGTCAACCTTAAAGAACAGCCTGCAACTCGCCGCGGAGTTCTATCTACAGTTGCCTCGCTATACGATCCCTTGGGATTTGTAGCTCCATTCGTGCTTAAAGGTAAAAGAATACTTCAAGAGATGTGTAGGCGTGGCTTAGGCTGGGACGACACTTTGGGGGATGAACTCCGACCAAAATGGGAATGCTGGAGAAATGATCTAGCCAATTTGAACCAGGTCATCATATCCCGTTGTTATGCGCCAGATGGATTTGGAAGGATTACCAAGACCGAACTGCATCATTTTTCTGACGCTAGCACAATAGGGTATGGCCAGTGTTCCTACTTGAGATTTCATAATGAAAATGGGGATGTGCACTGTGCTCTGGTCATTGGGAAGTCCCGAGTAGCTCCAACAAAGGTTACAACTGTTCCTAGGTTGGAATTGACGGCCGCTGTTGTTTCTGTGAAGATAAGCAACATGCTTAAGGAGGAGTTGGCATCTCTTGAGGCAGAGGAGTTCTTCTGGACTGACTCCAAGGTGGTTTTAGGATATATAAAGAACGAAGCAAGACGTTTCCACACGTTTGTCGCAAACCGAGTCCAGAAAATACACCTCAGCTCAAACCCTTGACAATGGAGGTATGTTTCATCTAACGATAATCCTGCTGACCATGCCTCCAGAGGCCTGGCTCTCAGTGACCTTCAGACATCTACCTGGTTCACGGGTCCAGAGTTCTTGTGGGAAAGGGAACTTCAGCTGCCAGTAGATGTTACTCCAGAGCTGGAGATAGGGGATCCCGAAGTCAGAAATGCTCAAACTTTGAGAACCAAAAAGACTGAGCAAGTAAACATAGTCGATCGTTTGTCTAAGTTTTCATCTTGGTCACGGGCGATTAGAGCTGTAGCACGGATTCTTAGATGCATCAGCAAGAACAAATCAAGCTTCCTCACTACCGTGGAAGAGAGAGAAAACGCTGAGCGCCTTATAATTAGGAATTTGCAGGGACAAGTATTCCAAGATGAGTTGAGTCTCCTGAGCAGAGGAATTCCCCTACCATCACACAGCAGGTTGCACCAGCTAGACGCATTCGTTGACAAAGATGGTTTGCTTAAGGTGGGAGGAAGATTGCGTAACTCATCTCTAGGCATGTCCTTCAAACATCCAGCAATTCTCCCTAAAGATCATCACATCACAAGGATGATCATCGCTCATAATCACGAAAAGGTTGAGCATCAAGGCAAAGGTCTCACCCTTAACGAAATAAGGGCAAGTGGCTACTGGATTCCAGGAGTTGGCCGCACAGTAGCATCCTATATTCATCACTGCGTAACATGCAGAAAGCTCAGGAAACCTGCAGAGGAGCAAAGGATGGCCGACTTGCCTCCAGAACGTGTAGGACAGTCACCTCCGTTTACTTATTGCGGAATGGACTGTTTTGGCCCATTTCTTACAAAGCAAGGACGGAAAGTGAACAAGAGATATGGTCTTCTCCTCACTTGCTTTTACTCAAGGGCGATTCACCTTGAGATGCTTGATGATATGTCGACTGACTCTTTCATCAACAGTCTCCGATGCTTCATTGCCATCCGTGGTGCAGTGCGACAAATAAAGTCAGATCAAGGAAGTAACTTTGTCGGAGCAAAACACGAACTCAGGGAAGCTCTTAAAGAGGTGGACTCGGAGCGCATAGCTACATTCCTTGCAGAAAAGCAGTGCGACTTCATCATGAACGCACCCTGTTCAAGTCATGCTGGTGGCGTCTGGGAGAGGCAGATTAGAACAGTCAGAAGTATTCTCCGATCCACAATTTCCCTCTCTTCGGATAGGCTGAATGATGCTTCTTTACGAGCCTTTCTGTATGAAGCTATGGCTATCGTGAACAGCCGTCCACTTACGGTTGACAATCTCACAGATCCAAACAGGCATATTATGGCGTATGTGGCATATTATGCAGGTTAAGCATAAGTTTGTGTAAGGATAAGTAAAATGCGCTTCTGTGTGTATAGTTCTTAACTCACTTATTGCGTACGAGCTAAGAGACTGCGTGAGCAAGCTAAAATATAGTCTTGTTTCTTTATTACGGTATCAAATCTTCATATTCTCATTTTTACTGGAGAAATTGAACTGTATTTTGTTTTCTTCATGAAAATGTTTCTCTGTTTTTGGTTTTCCATAGCTCTTACGGTGTGTTTGATATCACACGGTATTAAAATCTTCATAAACCATCAGTCGGCTTTACAACTTTCTGGCTGGGTGGCTACATCACCTGTTGTTTTGGACAGTAAATAAAATGGCTATATTTGTGTTGTATGTTCAAGAACGAACCAGTGCAACCCAGTCCCGGCTGTTAGGGCGAGTCAAACCATACAATGCGCAGTGTGCGGGCGCCACCTAGCGTTACATGCATGAACTACAAATACGTTCATGCAGAAAACAATAAAAAAATTCCACCCGCATATCCCGGGATATTTTCTTTTGGGCATTTTTATACCCGGGACAAAAGTGGGGACGCTTCCGTCTAAGCGTGTCATCCTTGCGCCTCTGGGCGAACAATCTTCGTGCTAAAGAAAACCAGACGTTTCACTAAGTCCCTCCCTTCTCTACTTCTGATTGGCCGCCGGACAAATTGTTTCAGCGGTTTGTTTCACGGCGGAGCCGAATTATTGGTCGCCGAACTGGAGCAGCGATTGGCCAGAGCCGGTGCGCCAGGTCACATGGCCTGCTGACGAAATGTTTCAAGGGTTTGTTTCTAAATGGGCTCGCCTGATTGGTCGAGGTTTCACGTGAGCTCGCAGTTTAAGCGCAAGGGAGCGGGAGCATCATTTCAGTCTCAGCACTTTAGCAAGCAGCAGCGTTTTCAGAGCAATTTACAGGCAAGTCCGTTACTTTACTGTTTTAACCACTTTTTTAAACTTAGTGTTTGGACTGCAGGTGTGTGATGTACGTACATTACGGAGATGTTATAATTGTATTTTCGCACGAATTACGCGGCGTCACCTTGCTAGCTACACAACGTATTTCCAAATTTTTTTTATGTTTAAAATTAAAATGTTTTTGTCTCCGTAGAATTCATAGTTGTCATGTTTATTTCGATTAGCTTGCTTATTCTTTGCAATTTTTTGGGTATGTTTTACTACTTTTATGCGTTTTACAATTTTCTCGCTTTTTATGTGTATTAAGTTAGCTTGCTAAATCGCCTAAATGATTATAATTGCTATCAGACGTCATTTTTCTACGTAGAATATTAAATATGTCAATTGCTAGCACCGATATGACAATATTTTATCGTGCGAGTGGTAAATTACATTGCAAAAGACGTTTCTGAGCATATTTTTCAATTAAACAGCAAGTGGTCAGTATTTGAACTCTTATGCTCGTAAATACCCATCTATTTGGCTGGAAGGAAGACAGTTACAGCTCTCATATGACACCCACCTTTTGAATGAAGCTTATGAAATATTAAAGTTCCGCGTTTCGGAACCACCGGTGGTTCCACTGAGTTAATAAGATTAAAGGAGCCTGACCAACTGTATGTTCCTCCAGAAAGAGAACAGAAATAGTTTTTGTTTCAGTGGATTTATTGCAGAGTGTTTGAAATGTTAATAAATATAATAAACATCAGGAAAAACTACCTGTAAAGAACAATGGTTACACTGTTGCGATGGATGTGTACCGTGAAAATGTCTTAAACTATTGTGATGCTGTATTTTTGCCATTTTGCTCACCCCTTACAGAGGTTTATTTTGATTTTATTTGTCAGTGTTTTCTACAATGGATGCAAGGCCAGCATTTCGTTGCGAGGAGAACGGAGAGCTCACTCTTCGAGCCTCACCAGCAGCACTTGCTGTGGAGAGGGAGCACTTGACCCGCATAGGGTCAGGCACTCCTTTCAAGGTCCAGGATCCCATGGCAGTTTGGACAGAGGCCAAACAAAGAGTGGTGGCCGCAGGAGGAGAGCCTTGGGACAACCAGCTGGTAGCGAGTGAGAGCGTTTTCCAGTTTGGCCAGTACCGAGGGAAAACCTTTAAGTGGCTTCTGGAGAATGACCTGGGCTATGCTGTCATGGTCTTGGCAGGGCACCAGAAGGAGCGGGAGTCTGGCGACCTGAGCGACACTGCCCTTATGAGCAATAAGGATGTGCTCCTCAAGTATGCCGGATCCTTTCCCGAGGTTGCCGAGGCCATTAGGCAGCGGAGGCAGCGGAGCACCCAGGCAGATGACAGTCTGGTGGGCTTTGGTGCACATAAGATGTGTACCTACAAGCAGCTTTATGAGTCTGCAGACAGGGAGAAAAAGAGGTAAAGATATATTAAAATTCTGCATGTTATATTTTATTGTAGTTGTAGTATATTTTGTTACATATTTTTACTACTTTTATTTATGCATCTGTATAATATTTTTGCTCTTGTTTTGCTCTTGTTTTGCTCTTTACTGTAACTTCCCTCTGGGATAATGCAATGATTTATCTATTGATTTAAAATACACTGTTATTATTGTTGGTAATAGTGTAGTTTGTATATGTAAGCAGTAGTGATAGTGGTAAAACAGTATCCTCATTAAAATGAATTATATTATTAATTGTAATCCTTAATATATTTGCTCATTATTCTGTCTTTTTAACAGTTACGTCCAGTGGCTGAGAGGTCAGACGAGCAGGCCAGGAACTAAAATGGACGCACTGAGGAAGTACATCCAGAAGAGGGATGTGGAGCAGGCTCTGCATGGCTCTGCACCCTCATCGTCTTCCATTTCGGCTCCTGGCTCTCTTCACCACCCTGGATCGTCCCGAGAGCAGGCTCCTAAAGCTCTTGGTAAGTGTTAAAATCATGTAAAATAGAGAAGTTCATCGTTCAGCACAGCACATATTGTGCAAAAATCATGTGAAGTCATTATGTACTGCAAATTTTCCCATTGTTAATGTTTAATATTCTGTATTTGTCAGAGCCCACTGATGATGAGCTGATGGCATGTGCCATGGAGGTGGACATACCAGGTATGTGTTTTCTGAGTTCTTTTTTTTTCAGAATGAACAATGTGTTACATATAAAACATGTAATGAACGTATCGTAACTTTTTGCTTTATGTCAATGTATTTACTAGCCCTTTAAAAATGATGCAGAAGAAGTTAAGGTAAGTGTTATAAGTGGCCCGTCGAATAGTAGCCCCGCTCGTAGCACTTGTGGCTTAGTTGGTTCTGGTGTGCATGTCCACTCCTTTTATCCCTTTGCTTTGGTAGAACAGCTGCTTAGAATGCTCAACATCCTTTGTCCCCATGCTTGTGTCACTGTGCTTTGGCTAGGATGTACATAAAACTTCTAAACATGTATTCTTTCATTTATTCACCCTTTCTATTTATTTTCTATTTATTACACAGCTCATGAGGGAGATGGGCTGCTGCCCATGGCAGCAGGGCTGATGAGGCGCTACAGTGAAGCTGGAGTCCTCCCGCCGAAGCTCCTGTACGTGGACAGGGACTGCTGTTCCGGAACAGGGAGGTCCAGAGCAGCGGCCATGTTCCACGAGTGGGAGGAGCTGGTTGTCAGGCTGGACATGTGGCACCTGATGCGAAGGTTCGCGGTGGGTGTCACCACTGACAGCCACCAGCTCTACGGCCTCTTTATGGCGAAGCTCTCTGCGTGCATCTTCGAGTGGGATGCAGCAGATGTGGCTCGTCTGCGGGAGGCCGTGCAGGCGGAGATGGAGGAGAAGCAGGGCATCGTGGGCCTCAGCGAAGAGCAGCTCAACAGCAAGCTGACGACAAAGCTGCTTGCTCGGCACTGTCGGCGCCGCACGCGCGGTGCAGAGGAGACCGAGGAGCTTGTCCATCAGCTGCTGGAGGCTTTCCGCGACGTGACGGACACGATGGGCGTCCCCTTGCTGGACAACGAAAGGATGGATGTCATCTGGAACAACCAGCGGCAACACCTTCGTTGCATCCAGGATCCTCCGGGACTCCAACTTTACACTAAGACGGGCCAGCTGACCAAAGGCGGGGTTGTCCTGCCTGTGTACCGTTGCGCACGGGGCTCCACCTCCCTCGAGTCGTTCCACCTACACCTCAATCACTTCATACCTGGTAAGTGTATAGATTTGTATTGTGTGTGTGTGTGTGTGTGTGTGTGTGTGTGTGTGTGTTTCTGTCTTGTGTCTTGTGTTTGTTGTGGACCGTCTACAACATGTTTTCTCTGCTTCACAGGCACTTCTGCAAATGCAGAAAACTTTCAGGCGTACCTCCTGGAAGGCTTGGTGAGGTGGAATGAGGACTGTGCAGCGGCAGCAGCGGTAGACCAGGCAGAAGCGGTAGACCAGGCAGAGCAGGTGCTGCGGTGCTACAGTGGCCACCTGCAGCACAACCTCAACCAGCTCAGCCAACAGCTGCTCAACCGTAAGCTGGTTGAGGACTACACAAAACCTGGAGAGTACACAGGTGAATATTCACCGACTGAATCTGTATAGCACTGTTCACCAACCAATATTGCAAACCTGTTATTATTATTGATGAGTTTGTTAAGTTAAATTGTAATTATTGATGTGTTTCAGGAGAGCTGATCGGTGTCGAGTACCTCTACTCCCAGCAGTGCAAGGAGTTGAGAGAGGACATTGGTCGTGATCCGGATACTCCAGATGGCACCCCAGATGACGAGTCGGACTGGGAGGATGAAGGGTTTGCTGAGGCTGTTCATTTGGGTACGGAGGAAAGTGACCCCACCATCGTCCCGCTTTCGGTTGATCCCCACTGCAGCCTGCTGTCCATCCGTGCTGCGGCAGAGGCAGGAGTACCTCCTCTGTCTGAAGACGCCCCATCTGACCCGCTCCTTCCCTCCACCCCGAAAGCGATGTCAGGCGGGGACGATGATGATGGTGGCGGTGGTGGTGATGTTAACGTAAGAACTGTTAAGATTTAAATAAAAAAAATTTACAAGAACAGCACAGCATAAATCTGAATAAAATTCACCTTCTTGTTGTTTTTCCTTTATCTTGCTAGGAATTCACAGGGCTTGATGGAGCACCTGGCTACGACCGCGTGGTCAGGCTGGCCATGTACCTGGTGGGGCTGCGTGACGAACCCTGTTTCTCCAAAAGGCATATTGCTGACATCGTCGCTCTCTGGAACTCCCTGCCAGAGGCTGACAAGCGACGTGTCTCTTACTTGCCGAGACACAGGGCGTGGCTCCTCGAGGGACGGTTCAAGGCCAGCCACTCAAAGACCACCGTCAGCAGTGGGACGGAGAGCTTGAAGCGGTAAGGGCACCATACATGCTGATGAGGATTTTTACAGAGAATTCCCTTTAATGATGATAATAATAATAATAATAACAATAGTAATAGTAATTTATTTATTTAATAGTTTATATAATGCTTTTCATGCTGGTGTGAATGTGAATTATAACTCATCTTAAGTTGTTTGGCTTTTTGTGTTTTTTCCTGAACAGCTGTTTGCTGGGCCAAGGCACAGGGCCTGCACAGTGGCCCCACGCAAGCCGCCTCGTGGAGGCCATTTGCCTGCAGTTGTGTGATATGCACCCTCGTGGCCAAAAGATCGCCGGCTTCAGGTTAAACCGCTGGAGTGTCGTCCTGCGGGACTACGGCAGGATCAGGAGGCTGGTCCTGAACAGTCCTGGGCTCATGCAGGCGACAGCGCTTCAGCTCTTCGAGATCAATCAGCGCACACTATCTGTGTGGTAAGGGTCTTGATCTAACACTGCTGATGCTGTGCATTAGACAGTTCTTTTATGTGAATTCTAAATTTGTTGTATTTATTTGTTTTCTTTTTTGTTTTTTTTGTGTTGATAGGTATAATGATTTGCAGAAGAAGCAGGAACTGGCTGTGCTGTCTATGGAGATTCCAGTCCCCAACCCAAGCATGACAGCAGCCGTCCCGTTGACCGAGCCCAGGCAGAATGTTCCGGAGCCTGAGCACCCGAGGTCTTTTGTGTTCGCCTGTCCTCCGGATCTGTCTGGGCAAGCTGTGCGGCGAGGACAGCATCCAGTTCCTGAATATTTGCAATATCTGGCGCCAGCACCGCAGCCCGCACCTCTGCCCTACCCTGCGCCAGCACCGCAGCCCGCACCTCTGCCCCATTCTACGCCAGCACCTCTGCCCCGTCCTACGCCAGCACCGCAGCCCACACCTCTGCCCCGTCCTGCGCCAGCACCGCAGCCCGCACCTCTGACCCACCCTGCGCCAGCACCGCAGCCCGCACCTCTGCCCCGTCCTGCGCCAGCACCGCAGCCCGCACCTCTGACCCACCCTGCGCCAGCACCGCAGCCCGCACCTCTGCCCCATCCTACGCCAGCACCGCAGCCCGCACCTCTGACCCACCCTGCGCCAGCACCGCAGCCCGCACCTCTGACCCACCCTGCGCCAGCACCGCAGCCCGCACCTCTGACCCACCCTGCGCCAGCACCGCAGCCCGCACCTCTGCCCTACCCTGCGCCAGCACCGCAGCCCGCACCTCTGCCCTACCCTGCGCCAGCACCGCAGCCCGCACCTCTGACCCACCCTGCGCCAGCACCGCAGCCCGCACCTCTGCCCCGTCCTGCGCCAGCACCGCAGCCCGCACCTCTGACCCACCCTGCGCCAGCACCGCAGCCCGCACCTCTGCCCCGTCCTGCGCCAGCACCGCAGCCCGCACCTCTGACCCACCCTGCGCCAGCACCCGCAGCCCGCACCTCTGCCCCTCCTCGCCAGCACCGCAGCCCGCACCTCTGACCCACCCTGCGCCAGCACCGCAGCCCGCACCGCAGCCCGCACCTCTGCCCACCCTGCGCCAGCACCGCAGCCCGCACTCGCACCTCGCCAGCACCACAGCCCGCACCTCTGACCCACCCTGCGCCAGCACCGCAGCCCGCACCTCTGCCCTACCCTGCGCCAGCACCGCAGCCCGCACCTCTGCCCTACCCTGCGCCAGCACCGCAGCCCGCACCTCTGCCCTACCCTGCGCCAGCACCGCAGCCCGCACCTCTGCCCTACCCTGCGCCAGCACCGCAGCCCGCACCTCTGCCCTACCCCGCGCCAGCACTGGAGCCCACACCACCTCTGCTACTGTTCCAGCCTGCACCAGCACCGCAGCCCACACCACCTCTGCTACTGTTCCAGCCTGCACCAGCACCGCAACCCACACCACCTCTACCACTCCACCCTACACCTCTGCCCCAGCAGACTGTGCCACCGCCACCATTTCCGCCCATCCAACTGCCACACCTTCAGCCAGTCCATGATCCTGAAGGGAAAGTGTGGAGCAGGACCACTCAGTGGAGGAGGAGAAAGGCAGCCGAGGCCTTGGCGAGGCAGCAGGGTCTCCATATACCACCTCGCGTCACCCACACGCACTACATCTGTTCCCAGTGTGGGCAGCCGAGGACAAGGCAGTTTGGGCATAGCAGGATGGGAAACAGATTTTTCTGCTCTACAGCAGAGGGGAAGACTGTGGAGGAGTGGCGGGCTGAACAGGGACATTAAGTTTATAATTATTATGTTTTTGATTATTGATATCTGCTTATAAATACACATTGAAGATCCTCTTATTATTATTATTATTATTATTATTGCAATCTATCAAGTTACTTTTATTATTTGCTTGTGTGGTAAGTACTTTTAAAATGTAAGCACTATTATATTTACTATTATTACCTATCAGGCTACTAATGTTATTACTTGCACTTACATAAATGCTAGTAATTTAAATGTAAGCACTTCACTATATTATTAATACTGTTATTGTTATACACATGCACTAAAACTATTAGCATTATTGTCTACTAATATAATAAGCACAATTGATTCAATTACTTATACATGTGTAAATAAACATACAACTACATTGATTGTGCATTTATAAATGTGAACCGTAAAGCTCAAACATAATACAAATATAAGGTCATTTATTCTATATGTGGAGTTATAATATGATCATTGAAGTGTGTTATTGAATGCAAATTTGAACCAATCAACAGCATATAATGTATAATGTGTTTTTATTGCTATTATATTAAGCAGTGTAGTTGAAGTATTTATTACTGCGTTCTAAATTCCCATTATATTGATTTGTGCTGTGTTCTCATCTAACTGCACAAATTTCATGTATATAGCACTTCTCTTGTTTCACAGAGGAACATTTTTTTTTTTGTCCCATCCACTTTATACTTGTGTAATAAGCAGTTCTAACAAATTATTAGTATTATTTAAACATGTTGTACAAATGCCAAAAATCTGTTAATAAAAAAGGTGGTTGGTTTACCCAAATAATGTGTTGTACTTAATCTTTTATTCACATTGTGTGTGTGCGGAATGCTTTAAAGAACACAAAGATTTTGATGTATATGAAAAATATTTATTAGAAACAAAAGAAATATAGTAAAGATAAAATGTGTAAATCAAATACAAACATAGATATATTTACAAGCTATGAGGTTGCACATTAACTATTTATGGACTTTGTGTTCAGGAGGGCTGGGCAGATTTTCTTCTGTCTGGTCTTATTTCCTCCCACTCCGACTTTGCACAGGTCTGCCCTCCCGATCTGCGGTGCGTTGCTCGGCGAGCCACAGTTCTACCGACTTCCCTTCATAGGCTGAGCAGAATGGGACGCCTTTGTAGCGACTGTGCCCGTATGCCTTTTGCCGTGGCTGGCCACACAGCTGGCATATTTGGTAGCCAGGCCTCTTTCTTTCTTTCAAGCTAATTCCCAGCTCCTCAGCCTCCTGTTCCTTTTGCCTTCTCCTCTTCATGTTCCAGGCTGTGCTTTTTGGGATGCCTCTTCCCTTATTCTCTCCGGCCTTCCTCCTCTGCTCTGTCAGCCAGTCATGGGCGCTCTGGCCAGAGGTGTTAGAGCAGAAACTTGTGCCCTTATAGGTGGCATGGCCAAACTCCAGCCTCTTTGGCTGTCCACACAGGTTGCAGGGGAGTCCAGCTGGGGCCTGCTGGTGATGGACCGTTCCAGCTTCCTCCAGGATCCTGTTGTCTTCCTCCACAGTCTTTTTTCTCCTGTACACTGTACATCTGGTCACAGGAGCTGAGGTAAACCAAAGGTAAAGTAAGTAAAGATCCATATAGTTTTGTTAATTTTTAAGAAAATGTTCCCACAGAACGTAGGAAGTTTGGTTTGTTTCCATGGCAGCGTTGTCTGATTTGTTATAGTCGTGTAAAAGCGACAGTGTTCACCTCGGTCACATTACTACTTATAGGTTTGTGGTGCAACTGAATTTAGTAAAGGGATCATTTGAGGCAGACTAGTGCTAACTAAGCACAAACCTAAAGGGGAACGCCACCAACTTTTCAAACATTCTGCACAATTAAATGGTTGAGATATAAAGAAAGTCACTCAGAGTGGTTTGGTGTCAAATGCTCTGTTCTAGAGAATCTGACAGAGTCTCAATTGTTCACAGTGGTGGCGACCAGACATCTGAAGACTTGAATGCCTCTGAAAGCTCCCTCACTGAAAGTTATCAGACGAAACGGTTATCCGACACATTGCTTTATTGTAGTTTTGTGATAAAGTTTTGACTTAAGATGTATTTTTATTTCACTTCCATTCGTGGTCGAGGGTTCCATGCAGGGTGTTGATAGGCATCAACATTACATATGAAAACTCAGAGGACATGTAGAATCACCTGTTGTTTTGGACAGTAAATAAAATGGCTATATTTGTGTTGTATGTTCAAGAACGAACCAGTGCAACCCAGTCCCGGCTGTTAGGGCGGGATTTTCTCCGATCCACAATTTCCCTCTCTTCGGATAGGCTGAATGATGCTTCTTTACGAGCCTTTCTGTATGAAGCTATGGCTATCGTGAACAGCCGTCCACTTACGGTTGACAATCTCACAGATCCAAACAGGCATATTATGGCGTATGTGGCATATTATGCAGGTTAAGCATAAGTTTGTGTAAGGATAAGTAAAATGCGCTTCTGTGTGTATAGTTCTTAACTCACTTATTGCGTATGAGCTAAGAGACTGCGTGAGCAAGCTAAAATATAGTCTTGTTTCTTTATTACGGTATCAAATCTTCATATTCTCATTTTTACTGGAGAAATTGAACTGTATTTTGTTTTCTTCATGAAAATGTTTCTCTGTTCTTGGTTTTCCATAGCTCTGACGGTGTGTTTATGATATCACACGGTATTAAAATCTTCATAAACCATCAGTCGGCTTTACAACTTTCTGGCTGGGTGGCTACATCACCTGTTGTTTTGGACAGTAAATAAAATGGCTATATTTGTGTTGTATGTTCAAGAACGAACCAGTGCAACCCAGTCCCGGCTGTTAGGGCGAGTCAAACCATACAATGCGCAGTGTGCGGGCGCCACCTAGCGTTACATGCATGAACTACAAATACGTTCATGCAGAAAACAATAAAACAATTCCACCCGCATATCCCGGGATATTTTCTTTTGGGCATTTTTATACCCGGGACAAAAGTGGGGACGCTTCCGTCTAAGCGTGTCATCCTTGCGCCTCTGGGCGAACGATCTTCGTGCTAAAGAAAACCAGACGTTTCACTAAGTCCCTCCCTTCTCTACTTCTGATTGGCCGCCGGACGAATTATTTCAGCGGTTTGTTTCACGGCGGAGCCGAATTATTGGTCGCCGAACTGGAGCAGAATCCAAGCGATTGGCCAGAGCCAGTGCGCCAGGTCACATGGCCTGCTGACGAAATGTTTCAAGGGTTTGTTTCTAAATGGGCTCGCCTGATTGGTCGAGGTTTCACGTGAGCTCGCAGTTTAAGCGCAAGGGAGCGGGAGCATCATTTCAGTCTCAGCACTTTAGCAAACAGCAGCGTTTTCAGAGCAATTTACAGGTAAGTCCGTTACTTTACTGTTTTAACCACTTTTTTAAACTTAGTGTTTGGACTGCAGGTGTGTGATGTACGTACATTACGGAGATGTTATAATTGTATTTTCGCACGAATTACGCGGCGTCACCTTGCTAGCTACACATCGTATTTCCAAATTTTTTTTATGTTTAACATTAAAATGTTTTTGTCTCCGTAGAATTCATAGTTGTCATGTTTATTTCGATTAGCTTGCTTATTCTTTGCAATTTTTTGGGTATGTTTTACTACTTTTATGCGTTTTTTTTCTTCGCGGGTTTTACAATTTTCTCGCTTTTTATGTGTATTAAGTTAGCTTGCTAAATCGCCTAAATGATTATAATTGCTATCAGACGTCATTTTTCTACGTAGAATATTAAATATGTCAATTACTAGCACCGATATGACAATATTTTATCGTGCGAGTGGTAAATCACATTACAAAAGACGTTTCTGAGCATATTTTTCAATTAAACAGCAAGTGGTCAGTATTTGAACTCTTATGCTCGTAAATACCCATCTATTTGGCTGGAAGGAAGACAGTTACAGCTCTCATATGACACCCACCTTTTGAATGAAGCTTATGAAATATTAAAGTTCCGCGTTTCGGAACCACCGGTGGTTCCACTGAGTTAATAAGATTAAAGGAGCCTGACCAACTGTATGTTCCTCCAGAAAGAGAACAGAAATAGTTTTTGTTTCAGTGGATTTATTGCAGAGTGTTTGAAATGTTAATAAATATAATAAACATCAGAAAAACTACCTGTAAAGAACAATGGTTACACTGTTGCGATGGATGTGTACCGTGAAAATGTCTTAAACTATTGTGATGCTGTATTTTTGCCATTTTGCTCACCCCTTACAGAGGTTTATTTTGATTTTATTTGTCAGTGTTTTCTACAATGGATGCAAGGCCAGCATTTCGTTGCGAGGAGAACGGAGAGCTCACTCTTCAAGCCTCACCAGCAGCACTTGCTGTGGAGAGGGAGCACTTGACCCGCATAGGGTCAGGCACTCCTTTCAAGGTCCAGGATCCCATGGCAGTTTGGACAGAGGCCAAACAAAGAGTGGTGGCCGCAGGAGGAGACCCTTGGGACAACCAGCTGGTAGCGAGTGAGAGCGTTATCCAGTTTGGCCAGTACCGAGGGAAAACCTTTAAGTGGCTTCTGGAGAATGACCTGGGCTATGCTGTCATGGTCTTGGCAGGGCACCAGAAGGAGCGGGAGTCTGGCGACCTGAGCGACACTGGCCTTATGAGCAATAAGGACGTGCTCCTCAAGTATGCCGGATCCTTTCCCGAGGTTGCCGAGGCCATTAGGCAGCGGAGGCAGCGGAGCACCCAGGCAGATGACAGTCTGGTGGGCTTTGGTGCACACAAGATGTGTACCTCCAAGCAGCTTTATGAGTCTGCAGACAGGGAGAAAAAGAGGTAAAGATATATTAAAATTCTGCATGTTATATTTTATTGTAGTTGTAGTATATTTTGTTACATATTTTTACTACTTTTATTTATGCATCTGTATAATATTTTTGCTCTTGTTTTGCTCTTTACTGTAACTTCCCTCTGGGATAATACAATGATTTATCTATTGATTTAAAATACACTGTTATTGTTGGTAATAGTGTACTTTGTATATGTAAGCAGTAGTGATAGTGGTAAAACAGTATCCTAATTAAAATGAATTATATTATTAATTGTAATCCTTAATATATTTGCTCATTATTCTGTCTTTTTAACAGTTACGTCCAGTGGCTGAGAGGTCAGACGAGCAGGCCAGGAACTAAAATGGACGCACTGAGGAAGTACATCCAGAAGAGGGATGTGGAGCAGGCTCTGCATGGCTCTGCACCCTCATCGTCTTCCATTTTGGCTCCTGGCTCTCTTCACCACCCTGGATCGTCCCGAGAGCAGGCTCCTAAAGCTCTTGGTAAGTGTTAAAATCATGTAAAATAGAGAAGTTCATCGTTCAGCACAGCACATATTGTGCAAAAATCATGTGAAGTCATTATGTACTGCAAATTTTCCCATTGTTAATGTTTAATATTCTGTATTTGTCAGAGCCCACTGATGATGAGCTGATGGCATGTGCCATGGAGGTGGACATACCAGGTATGTGTTTTCTGAGTTCTTTTAGAATGAACAATGTGTTACATGTAAAACATGTAATGAACGTATCATAACTTTTTGCTTTATGTCAATGTATTTACTAGCCCTTTAAAAATGATGCAGAAGAAGTTAAGGTAAGTGTTATAAGTGGCCCGTCGAATAGTAGCCCCGCTCGTAGCACTTGTGGCTTAGTTGGTTCTGGTGTGCATGTCCACTCCTTTTATCCCTTTGCTTTGGTAGAACAGCTGCTTAGAATGCTCAACATCCTTTGTCCCCATGCTTGTGTCACTGTGCTTTGGCTGGGATGTACACAAAACTTCTAAACTTGTATTCTTTCATTTATTCACCCTTTCTATTTATTTTCACTTTAATGCACATTATTGCCATCAATTAATTAACAAAGAAGTAGATGTAGTACGATTCTCACTGGCGTAATAACAGCTTTATTCTACGAATAGATTAATTTCCTTGAATTTTTTTTCTTAAAAATGTGACAAGTAATTGACTTGTTTTGTGATGTTCACAGCTCCTCCACCAGCTCCGGTCACACCGCCTGCTCCGCCGACCCCATCTCGTTCTCCGAGAAAGGCTGCGCAGAAGAGACGTGCCCCATGCTGCTCCTGAGGTGAGGTTATAATTCCTGTACATTTTTTAATTGCTGCACAAGAACAATAAAAAAAACACACACACACACACACACACACACACACACACACACACACACACAAAAAACATCCACTGACAGGCTATTTGTCTGTAGGGTCCTGTGCTTCCACAGAGCTGGAAGCACCATCTCCCTAAAGAGCAGCATGAGTGGATCAGCCGTGCCATATTCAAGAGGGACAAGGCAGGGAAGGCTGTTCTTGTGGACAGCCTGCAGATGTGGTGGCATCCTCCCCCACCACGCCCTGTTCAACATCAGCCGCCGTCTTCCCTGATGCCTTCTTCACCCGCCCCTTCTGCCTGTGGATGCCCTACCGCATGTGGGCATTCAGGCTGTTGTGCAAGCAGCCCAACTGCCATCGGGCCGGCCAGCGCCTGACGTCTTGTGGCCTGTACAAGACGGTCAGAAGGGTGCTTGACATTGATGGCTGGTACTACATGGCCACCGAGTACCTGGAGTGCCGTCGCTGTCGGAAGAAGGTCGCAGGATGGTCACAGGACATCCTGGAGCAGCTGGACCCTGCGCATCGAGCCATGTTTCCAGCCATCCTCACATACAGGTAAACGTACATCTATGACACAAAACACAAGGGCAACTTTTATGACATGAAGATGTGAATGAAAGAATGAATGAATAGCACACCATAGATCTATTAGGGTCACTTTTTGGGGTCATATGTCAGGTCAAGAGAGGATTAGCGGTCCCTCTTAAAGTGTCTGGCACAACCTGTGTGATGTAAAGGTCATTTTTGAAGTGTCTGACACCACCTGTCCTGGCCACTTTTTTCACACCTTTTGATGTCCCCCTTCTGGAATGTCGTCTCGTTAGGGCTTCTATTGTTCTCTGCACCCCCTACACCAACCCCCACCCCACCCCAACCCCTACACCAACCCCCACCCCCACACCAACCCCTACCCCAACCAACCCCCACCCCACCCCAACCCCTACACCAACCCCCACCCCTCTGCAGAGACCTTTTACAGCCAGTTCCCAACTCTGATCTGTGAATGTGTATGCTTACAGGCTGTCCTGTGACATGAAGGTCGTGCGGCTGATGAGAGAGAGGTCCTTTGGCAATAGTGTCTCCGCGCTGTGCCACAAACTGAGGGAGCAGCACAGTGAGGCCTGGATGACGAGCACACTGCAGTACCTTGCAGTGTGTAAGAGATTCCAGGTCCCTGGTGTCGAGGCACAGCCTGTGGCATCACCACCACCCATGATGCCTGTTCCCTCACCCCACTGGCTCCTCACCGTCCATGCCGAGGATGTACGGACGCGGATCGGTGAGATGAAGGCCAGGGTCACCTCCATTTTCGGATCCATCCTGAAGATGGATTCAACCAAGAAGGTAATGTTTTTTGTGTTTGATGCTCCGGTGCATGTTATGATTCACTAATTTTGTGTATTGAATTTGCACAATATATACATATATATATATATATATATATATATATATATATATATATATATATATATATATATATATATATATATATTAACTGTGCGTGTGTGTGTCTGTCGTGTGTCTGTCATGTGTTCAGGTGACCAAGAAGCTGGCTGGAGCTGCAGCCAGGACAGCAGGCTGGGCGACCAATGTGGGCAACGAGTACGGACAGGTGCTCATGTCCGTGCTCACAGCTCATGAGAGAGATGGGCTGCTGCCCATGGCAGCAGGGCTGATGAGGCGCTACAGTGAAGCTGGAGTCCTCCCGCCGAAGCTCCTGTACGTGGACAGGGACTGCTGTTCTGGAACAGGGAGGTCCAGAGCAGCAGCCATGTTCCACGAGTGGGAGGAGCTGGTTGTCAGGCTGGACATGTGGCACCTGATGCGAAGGTTCGCGGTGGGTGTCACCACTGACAGCCACCAGCTCTACGGCCTCTTTATGGCGAAGCTCTCTGCGTGCATCTTCGAGTGGGATGCAGCGGATGTGGCTCGTCTGCGGGAGGCCGTGCAGGCGGAGATGGAGGAGAAGCAGGGCATCGTGGGCCTCAGCGAAGAGCAGCTCAACAGGAAGCTGACGACAAAGCTGCTTGCTCGGCACTGTCGGCGCCGCACGCGCGGTGCAGAGGAGACCGAGGAGCTTGTCCATCAGCTGCTGGAGGCTTTCCGCGACGTGACGGACACGATGGGCGTCCCCTTGCTGGACAACGAAAGGATGGATGTCATCTGGAACAACCAGCGGCAACACCTTCGTTGCATCCAGGATCCTCCGGGACTCCAACTTTACACTAAGACGGGCCAGCTGACCAAAGGCGGGGTTGTCCTGCCTGTGTACTGTTGCACACGGGGCTCCACCTCCCTCGAGTTGTTCCACCTACACCTCAATCACTTCATACCTGGTAAGTGTATAGATTTGTATTGTGTGTGTGTGTGTGTGTGTTTCTGTCTTGTGTTTGTTGTGGACCGTCTACAACATGTTTTCTCTGCTTCACAGGCACTTCTGCAAATGCAGAAAACTTTCAGGCGTACCTCCTGGAAGGCTTGGTGAGGTGGAATGAGGACCGTGCAGCAGCGGTAGACCAGGCAGAGCAGGTGCTGCGGTGCTACAGTGGCCACCTGCAGCACAACCTCAACCAGCTCAGCCAACAGCTGCTCAACCGTAAGCTGGTTGAGGACTACACAAAACCTGGAGAGTACACAGGTGAATATTCACCGACTGAATCCGTATAGCACTGTTCACCAACCAATATTGCAAACCTGTTATTATTATTGATGAGTTTGTTAAGTTAAATTGTAATTATTGATGTGTTTCAGGAGAGCTGATCGGTGTCGAGTACCTCTACTCCCATCAGTGCAAGGAGTTGAGAGAGGACATTGGTCGTGATCCGGATACTCCAGATGGCACCCCAGATGACGAGTCGGACTGGGAGGATGAAGGGTTTGCTGAGGCTGTTCATTTGGGTACGGAGGAAAGTGACCCCACTATCGTCCCGCTTTCGGTTGATCCCCACCGCAGCCTGCTGTCCATCCGTGCTGCGGCAGAGGCAGGGGCACCTCCTCTGTCTGAAGACGCCCCATCTGACCCGCTCCTTCCCTCTACAGCGACGTCAGGCGGGGACGATGATGATGGTGGTGGTGGTGATGTTAACGTAAGAACTTAAGATTTAAATAAAAAAAATTTACAAGAACAGCACAGCATAAATTTGAATAAAATTCATCTCCTTGTTGTTGTTTTTCCTTTATCTTGCTAGGAATTCACAGGGCTTGATGGAGCACCTGGCTACGACCGCGTGGTCAGGCTGGCCATGTACCTGGTGGGGCTGCGTGACGAACCCTGTTTCTCCAAAAGGCATGTTGCTGACATCGTCGCTCTCTGGAACTCCCTGCCAGAGGCTGACAAGCGACGTGTCTCTTACTTGCCGAGACACAGGGCGCGGCTCCTCGAGGGACGGTTCAAGGCCAGCCACTCAAAGACCACCGTCAGCAGTGGGACGGAGAGCTTGAAGCGGTAAGGGCACCATACATGCTGATGAGGATTTTTACAGAGAATTCCCTTTAATAGTAATAATAACAACAATAGTAATAGTAATTTATTTATTTAATAGTTTATATAATGCTTTTCATGCTGGTGTGAATGTGAATTATAACTCATCTTAAGTTGTTTGGCTTTTTGTGTTTTTTCCTGAACAGCTGTTTGCTGGGCCAAGGCACAGGGCCTGCACAGTGGCCCCACGCAAGCCGCCTCGTGGAGGCCATTTGCCTGCAGTTGTGTGATATGCACCCTCGTGGCCAAAAGATCGCCAGCTTCAGGTTAAACCGCTGGGGTGTCGTCCTGCGGGACTACGGCAGGATCAGGAGGCTGGTCCTGAACAGTCCTGGGCTCATGCAGGCGACAGCGCTTCAGCTCTTCGAGATCATTCAGCGCACACTATCTGTGTGGTAAGGGTCTTGATCTAACACTGCTGATGCTGTGCGTTAGACAGTTCTTTTATGTGAATTCTAAATTTGTTGTATTTATTTGTTTTCTTTTTGTTTTTTTTTTTGTGTTGATAGGTATAATGATTTGCAGAAGAAGCAGGAACTGGCTGTGCTGTCTATGGAGATTCCAGTCCCCAACCCAAGCATGACAGCAGCCGTCCCGTTGACCGAGCCCAGGCAGAATGTTCCGGAGCCTGAGCACCCGAGGTCTTTTGTGTTCGCCTGTCCTCCGGACCTGTCTGGGCAAGCTGTGCGGCGAGGACAGCATCCAGTTCCTGAATATTTGCAATATCTGGTGCCAGCACCGTAGCCCGCACCTCTGCCCCGTCCTACGCCAGCACCGCAGCCCGCACCTCTGCCCTACCCTGCCCTGCCCCAGCACCGCAGCCCGCACCTCTGCCCTACCCTGCCCCAGCACCGCAGCCCGCACCTCTGCCCTACCCTGCCCCAGCACCGCAGCCCGCACCTCTGCCCTACCCTGCGCCAGCACCGCAGCCCGCACCTCTGCCCTACCCCGCGCCAGCACTGGAGCCCACACCACCTCTGCTACTGTTCCAGCCTGCACCAGCACCGCAGCCCACACCACCTCTGCTACTGTTCCAGCCTGCACCAGCACCGCAACCCACACCACCTCTACCACTCCACCCTACACCTCTGCCCCAGCAGACTGTGCCACCGCCACCATTTCCGCCCATCCAACTGCCACACCTTCAGCCAGTCCATGATCCTGAAGGGAAAGTGTGGAGCAGGACCACTCAGTGGAGGAGGAGAAAGGCAGCCGAGGCCTTGGCGAGGCAGCAGGGTCTCCATATACCACCTCGCGTCACCCACACGCACTACATCTGTTCCCAGTGTGGGCAGCCGAGGACAAGGCAGTTTGGGCATAGCAGGATGGGAAACAGATTTTTCTGCTCTACAGCAGAGGGGAAGACTGTGGAGGAGTGGCGGGCTGAACAGGGACATTAAGTTTATAATTAGTATGTTTTTGATTATTGATGGCCACACAGCTGGCATATTTGGTAGCCAGGCCTCTTTCTTTCTTTCAAGCTAATTCCCAGCTCCTCAGCCTCCTGTTCCTTTTGCCTTCTCCTCTTCATGTTCCAGGCTGTGCTTTTTGGGATGCCTCTTCCCTTATTCTCTCCAGCCTTCCTCCTCTGCTCTGTCAGCCAGTCATGGGCGCTCTGGCCAGAGGTGTTAGAGCAGAAACTTGTGCCCTTATAGGTGGCATGGCCAAACTCCAGCCTCTTTGGCTGTCCACACAGGTTGCAGGGGAGTCCAGCTGGGGCCTGCTGGTGATGGACCGTTCCAGCTTCCTCCAGGATCCTGTTGTCTTCCTCCACAGTCTTTTTTCTCCTGTACACTGTACATCTGGTCACAGGAACTGAGGTAAACCAAAGCACAGCATAAAATTTAATCTCACAAAAGATCTCATAAGCGATAACAACATGCAAAGGGGAACAAAGTGACAGTAATTCAAAAAAAGGCTCTGCTAAAATGCATTACCTGGTTTAGATCCCTTCCTCCTCCTTTTCTTGGCCTGAGCAGACTGGGCCCTCTCAAGCTCTCTCAGAAGCCACATTCTGTTTGCCCTCTCTGCTGCAGAGATGACGGGCGGCCAGTGGGGAGGGCAGAATGGAGACGCTCTGCTGTCCTCACCCTCTGTCTGCCTGCCACCTGAAGGGGTGTGGGGCCTGCTCCTCCTGCTACTCCTGCTACTCTTCTGACGTTTTTGAGCAGAAGCCTCAACAGTGGGGATCCACTCAAGCTCTCTCCTGGCCTTTTTTCTTCTTTCCCTCTCCATTATGGAGATGACGGGTGGCCAGCGTGGAGGGCAGAATTTTGCTGCTTTTTTTTCTCCCCATCGAGCCTCAACACCTCCGCTTTCATTGCGTGCAAATGTCCATCCGGTCTGCAGTGGACCTGCCTCAGCCACCCAATGTAACTGTGTGACACAAAAAAAATGTAAATAAATTTAAAAAATACACACAGAAACATGCATGACTGAAATGAAATGTTTAAAAAAAGCAAAAAGAATGATTTTCAGTTTTATTTCATATAATAACAATATAATACAAACAAACTACACATTTTAATATTATATGAATTACGGTTGAAAGGATCATTAACAGGCTGAAAATACAGTCATTATGAAATAATGAAATAATAATAATAATTATAATACCTTCTGTCTTTCAATCTGGGTGATGCATGGATCCTCCGGATCCTTTCCTTCTGGCAAACTGTCAGAGTTTTCTTTGATTTTATAATCATTATGTTTTTAATTGTTGATATTTATGTACAATTACAAAACTTTATTCAAATTTCTATTGTTGTTGTTTTATCAGTTGTATTATTACAATTCAACAGTTTAAATTGGCAGTGCTTATAAGTAATTGTGTGTATCTATACTATTTTAAATTATATAACTAATATTCTTATTATTATCCATTAAGCTTTTATTATCTACTCATGTAATAAGCAGTGATACTTTGTAAATAAATGAGAACTTAGCATTACCCTGCAAATAAATAATTTTGTGTTATTTAAAGATGTTTTGTATTTCTCTAAAATAATTAAATTAAAAAAAATGTAAGCACAGATTATATATATATATATATATATATATATATATATATATAGATACACACACACACACACACACACACATTATATATATATATATATATATATATATATATATATATATATATATATATATATATATATAATGTGTGTGTGTGTGTGTTATATATATATATATAAAAGAACAGCTTAGGTTATAAGAATAAAACACAGGGTATGGTGAATTTTCGGATAAGAAATATTTACAAGTTTTGAGGCTACTGAGGTTATACTGGTCAAGCTTTTCTTTAAGCCTTCTTTCCACTCTCCTTTGTGGCTGCTTTTGCCTGGTCTGCAGCACGTTGCTCTGCAAGCCACAGTTCAACAGTCTTTCCCTCGTGGGTTGAGCAGAAAGGGACCCCCTTGTAACAGCTGTGACCCTAAGCATTTTGGCGTGGCTAGCCACAGAGGTGGCATGTAGCAAAGGGGGGCCTTTTCCTGTACTTCACAGGAATGCCCTGCTTCTCCTCTGCCTTTTCTTTCTCCAGCCTTTTCTTCATCCTCCACGCGGTTGTTTTCGGGATGCTCCTCAGCTGGTCCTGTCCAGCCGCTCTCTTCTGTTCGGCCAGCCAGTCTGAGACACTACGGCCTGCAGCTTTGGAACAAAAGCTTTTACCCCTGTAACAGCTGTGGCCAAACTCAAGCCTCTTTGGCTGGCCACAGAGCTTGCAGAGGGGGACCGTGGGGTGCCGCCGGCGAGGGACTGTGCCACCTTCCTCCTGCACCTTCTTGTCCTCCTCCATTCTCTTCTTCCTTCACCATGCAGTAGCCCTAGGGACCCTTTCCATGGCCGCTTGAGCGACCGATGGTGGCGTCGGCAACACTGCCAGGGAGGCTGATGGAGGGAGACCTGACCAAACGCAAAAAGAATGTCACAAAATAGCCCAAAGCAATGCTGTAAAAACAGAATGAATTAAGACTGGTAATAAAAAGGCCTGTCAAAATACAATACCTGGTTCAGACAGATTCTGAAGCACAGGCGGCCACTTGGAAGGGCCTGGCAGGAGCGAGGAGTGCGCGGTTGCAGAGTGGGGCCTGCTCTGTTTGGCCCTGGACTGGAGTTCTGGGGAAGTAGCCTGGGCAGCACTGGCCCTCTCAAGCTCTCTCCTGAACCTCTTTCTCCTCTCTCTCTCAGTCACTGAGATGACTGGTGGCCAGTGTGGAGAGCAAAACTTGTTGTGTCTCTTCTTCTCCCTGTCCAGTCTCTCGACTTCTGCCTTCATTGCTTCCATAAAACCGCCAGGTCTACAGCGAACCTGCTTTAGCCAGCAAATGTAACTGTAGTAAAAGAAAAGCACAAAAACAAACAAAAACGTGAGAAATGATCACCTCTAGGAAGCAATCACTGAAATGACTAAAAACACAAAAAAAAATACTGTACGCTCGAAAAAGAGATATAGGAATATAAATGGCATAGTAATAACGGATCATTTCAGACAAAATGAGTTAAAAACAGGCAAATGAATGACATACTTTCTGGCCTTCAAAGTGCTTAAGGCATGGAGCCTCTGGAGCTTTTCCTTCACATTACCCGGTAGCTGTTTCATGCTGAAACAAAAAAAAAGAAAAAATAAATAAAGAAATGAATGAAAACAGGGAAAAAACAGAAAAGCAAACGAACAAAGAAGCACATCACGCACCTTGAAGCGAGAGCGATTCCTTCACCGTCTTTCTCAGCTGGGCGCTCTGTCTTCTCTTCGCGGTGGGGGGGAGCACAGGTGAACCGCGATGCTCCGCACCTCGGTTCAAGTTTGCCGGCAAACCCCGAAGCCACGCCTTCTCTCGATCCCATTGGCTCAGCTGCTGGCGAGGACCGCCCCCTTAAGAGGGCAACGGCGCAGCGCAGAGCCTGTGGGGCCCACCACCGCTGAGCCCGGAGCGGCCCGCAGTGTTTTTTCCGCCTTAAGGCAAAATAAACTTATCCCGACCTCTTCGGCCCGGTGCGTTCGCGGGGGGCCCACGGGGGGGCCCACAGAGAACATTAGGGCCCAACTTGTGGGACAAGTCAGTGGAGATCTTCTCTGCATGCTTCCTGGATCTGGAGGCATGCGGTTCCAGCAACGTGGGTAACTTAACCCCAATTGTCGTCTCTGCAGACCTGATGATGCGTTGCGGTCTGTGGAGGTCATGCTTGGTGGCTGAGCTGCCCCACACTGTGATGGACGTGGTGCGGTTCTACACAGCCATCACAGAGTCTGTCATCACCATCAGCTCCTGGGGCAGGTTGAACTTCCTCAGCTGACGCAAGAAGTACATCCTCTGCTGGGCTCTCTTGATGATGGAGCTGTCCCACTTCAGGTCCCTGGTGATTGTTGTGCCCAGGAACTTGCAGGACTCTACTGCCACCACAGTTCTGTTCCAGATGGTGAGTGCGGGCAGGGTTGGAGGGCTCCTCCACTGTCATCTCCACTGTTTTGTTGTATTCAGCACCAGGTTGTTGTGGCTGCTCCAAAGGACCACCTGATCAACCACTCGTCTGTAAGCAGACTCGTCACTGTCTCGGATGAGACCAATGACTGTAGTGTCATCTGCATACTCCGAGGTTTTGACTGAGGGGTCCGTGGAGCTACAGTCATTGGTGTATAGAGGGATGAGCAATGGTGAGAGTACAAAACCCTGTGGAGCGCCTGTACTGATGATCTGGGTGTTTGAGGTGAACTTTCCCAACCTCACCTGCTGCTCTCAGTGAGGAAGTTGGTGGTCCACTGGCAGGTGGGGGTTGGCACGCTGAGTTGGAGCAGTTTGTTGTGTAGCTGTCCTGGGATGATCGTATTAAAGCCTGAGCTGAAGTCCAAGAACAGAATTCTTGCATACGTTCCAGGGTGTTCAAGCAAGAGTCCCATGTTCACTGCATCGTCCACCGACCTGTTTGCCTGGTATGCAAACTGCAGGGTGTCTGGCAGATGATCTGTGATGTTCTCCAGATGGGTGAGCACCAGTCTCTCCATATCATTCAATGTTTTATTGATGCAGTTTTCAGTTACATTTTCACTATGTTCTGTGAGCTTTTGGGAGGACTAAAATGTCTGCATGCAAAGCCGTACACTGAGTCATTCTTTTAACATTCAAGTCAGGGGTGGATATTGTACCAGGCCACCTTGGAACTACTTCTCCTGTCTACCATTAGAGTCCTTGAACACATAAATATTATGTGGATGTTTAGGTTACTTTCAAGCAATCACAAACCTACAAATGTTTATAGACACCATATAAACTGACTAACAGGGAGCTCTTTAACATCATGGTTACAGCTATGAATGCAAATGTATTTTTTCCTGTCTCACACTCAGCTTCCACCTCGCCCTCAGGCCTCACTTCTAAAATGTCCTTCTGTCTCTACCTGCTCTACTGTGTCTTCACTGTTTGAACCATAGATATGCATACCTAGATGCCGCGCTGGGTCCAGTTGGGCACGTCAACCGTGCCATCATTTTAGGGCGGTCAACATCGCTGCTGGACTGCACTCTGTACCATTACAGAGCGGCAGTTTGAGAAAGGCACTGTCCAATATTATACTATTTCAAGAATATTGCTCTCAGAAAGCGGGATGGGATTATATAACGGAGGGAACGCAGCGATCCACGCTCAGGTTTGTGTGATGCGCATTGTTTGTGTGATGTTTTTGTGTAGATATGGCCGTGCGGTTGGTGATGCACAGAGAACCTGTTGATGTGATTGTTTTTCCTCTGGTTTTATATTAAGCTTATTTCACTGAATAGTCAATTCAGGGGATCTTAACTTCATGTAGTAGTTATTTATTTACAGTCATGGTATTGCTTTGTAGGTAAAGTATAGCATTCCTTAATCCTTGTAGATATCCATAATAGATTAACGTTAGCAGCTTCTTGTTCGAATTTTCCCGTTCCACCTTAAATGGTGCAGCTTCAGGCACCAGAAAGTTAAGGTGAAACGGGAAAACTCGGAAGAAGCTGGCGAATAAGAAGACATACAGCTTCGTCCTTCTTACTGTGTTTTGGGAGGGTTATTTTGTTTATATGTGTATTAAGATTAGAAGTGATTCACATATTGATGGGTTTGCTGATGTTTCTACCGGAGCTCGAGCTAAACTCGGTGCGGACAGCTAATTAGCACGATCAGTCGTTAAAAGAAATAAAAGCTACCGAGAGCAGTCCGAGCAACCTAAATTAATCTATGCCTGGGGATTATAACAAAACAAATTTGGTGAAAATCGGTTGAGTAATAAGGAAGTTGTGGCCGCTTTAATCATAAGAACTCGTCATTTCTCAATACAAGTGCATTTATTCACAAGCGGATCTTGACCGCTCCAACATGGCGGACGCGCAGACGTATCGCCTCACATAGAGAACAACAGGCAAGGGGGCATCTAGGTATGTATAACCAGAGCCGGTTTATGAGGAGCCTGCCCCCCCCCGTTATATCAAAAACAGGACTGTTAAACAGCAGAGGGCGCCCGCGAGCGAGTCCTCAATGAATGGGAGTGAATGGAGCTCAACGGCTAAAAACGAAAAGTTCAAACAGTTTCTAATCACTTACCCAGAACGTTTCTTTAATTTTAGAAAGTAGAAGGATGTATTTCACTAAAAAACAAAGAAATCTTACCGATATATTTACTTTTTTCTACAGCAAACGGGTTTAGAGCAGCAGAAGGCGGGCTTTACTGCTAGAGCGTGATGATTGATTGGCGAGCGGAGCAGCTCATTGGCTGTTCGCGCTCACTGACGTCATGAACGTACATGAGGCGCCGTTTTAAACTCCTATAACTCGAGTTTAAAAGCTCTTACAAATATAACAGCGCTGTTAAAATGTTTTATGCTGCTCTGTGTTCATGAAATGATTATTTTACATTAAAATTGTTTAAGTATTTATAAACTATGATTTTGATCAAATGCTCCTTATTAACCCATTCATTTTGGACTCGCTCGCGTTTAAGAAAACCCAACCTGAAAGATCCGGTTTTGCCTGACTTCCTGCACGACTGTTTGGATAAAGAGCAAATATATAACACTTCTCCTCTTCATTTTGGAAACAACTATAGAGCAGAAAACAAACATCATGGCACCACTACAATGGGATTTCTGCGTTAGCTAACTGGCTAACACTATACATGTACCTAGATATATAACGTATTTCGTAATGCAACACGTTCTCAATATCGCTGGCCTGCATGACTGTTAGTATATACAACTAACGTAGCACACTTAGACAGATTTGACCAAACATTTTACTCACCTTTCCCTCTTTTTGTTTGGTCTCTTTGGCGCTTTCTACTCCACAAAGGAAACACGGGCCGTCACCTAAAAGGGTCCGACTGGAAAATGTGTCCTTAGGTTTGTGTGCCGCTTTGTCACTGCGCGTTCGCGACTCACTGCTCATTTGGGGGAGAGGGTGGGGGAGGGGGAGAGGGTGGGGGTGGGGGTGGGGGAGGGGAAGGGGGAGGGGGGGGCAAGCTTGTTGTCCCAGAGGCACTGTTATCACTCTCTTTACTAAAAACAATACATTGAGATACATTAAAGCATTGAAAGAGATGCCGAATTTGTGCCAGAATTTAATACAGTCCGCCTTGAAATAAAAGGCATGATTATATTGCTTTCCACCCTCCAGTACCTCAAACAACTTTAAATCAATGTAATGGATTTTTAACTTCTGATTTCGGAAGATTTTCTGCCTGTTACTGTTTATAAGTGCAGTGTGTTGGATTTAGGAGCATCAGTAAGGGCGATTCAGCGCCACTAAATCGTTTACATCATTGTAAGCACAGGTGAGTGTTCAGGGGTAACATTAGATTCGATTCGACTTGACTCAAATTGACTGTAACATGTGCCACTGATGAATGTTGAGGGCTGGTCAGTATTTTGGTCATCAGTTATTTAATAATAACCTCTGTGGCAAACGTAATAACAAATGTAATTTATTTACATATTATAAACGCGTGTGAATGTTTAGAACGATTCGATTCGGTTCGAATCGACTCTGCAGTGTTCGGAGCTGATGACTTTCCCCGCGCGGGAGACTCCGTGTCACTGTTTTTTTGTGTGCAAACATCAGTTACGGCCTCGTTCTGGAGAAACTGTGGCTCGTGCGAGCAGAAAGCAGGCCTGTGTGGAGGCTGTGGTGGGACGCTTGGGTTTTAAAGGGGAACTCATTCAGAGTGGTTTGGTGTGAAATGGTTCATCTGCAGAGAAACTTACAGACTCAGATTTCTTTAAAGTGGTGGTGATGGGAACCAGGGGTCCTGACGTCCACAACACAAATATAGCCATTTTATTTACTATCCAAAACCACCAGTGAGCCTACATGTATATTCTGAGTTTTTATATGTGATGTTGATGATGGTAAAATAGTGATAACCTGAAAAAAATATTTTTCTTTGTGGACTATTTTTGCCTTCATTTATCTCTCCACCATGAATAATGGATTAAAATACGTCTTAGACCAAAAACTTCTCAGACATTAGGCAGCGTATATCTAACCACTTCGTTTAATATGTTTCTGTAAGGGACATTTACGGGTGGACGTCTGGTTCCTATCACCACCACTGTGAACAATTCTGACTCTGCAAGTTTCTCTGAAACGGAGCATTTTACACCAAACCTCTCCGGGTGACTCTGCTTAGAGCATAACCATTTAATTTTACAGCAATTTTGAAAAATCGGTGGAGTTCCCCTTTAAGTGGCTCCACAGCCCTGGCGGGCTCTCTGAACACCCACGTCAGCAGGAGCCGTGTGGGGCTTGTGTGTGTGTGTTTGTGTGTGTGTGTGTGTGTGAGTGTGTGTGTGTGTGTTTTTCCCCTCACACACAAGCGGGTTTCGGTCTTTCGGGCTAAGCAGGAAGTGATCAGTTAAAGCTAGAGGGGTGGGAAAAAACCTCCACCACGACCAAAGTAGCCGAAAGACATGGAGATGGTTTGCGAAAGTGGGACGTGTAGACCGTATCGGACACCGAGCGAGCCGGGTCGTCAGTGAGTATGTTGTTTTGTATGAGCAGAGGGTCGGAGGACGGAACAAAACCCGCAGAAACGGGGGGAGAGCCAGTGGGGCGCGGAGGGATGGAGGGAGGGAGAGAGGGAGGGCGAGAGGGAGGTGGGTGGCGGGCGGAGGTCAGGGAAAGGGAGTCAACGGGCTATGCGGAGCTCCGCGCCCGGGGAGAGAGCACCGCCGCGCCGCTGCGCAGTGCAGGCGCTCCCGCTGAACACGGGGGGCTAACCGCGGGCTCTGGGAGCGAGCCCCGCAACCTGAACCGCCCCGGGCGTGGTGCTCCGCTTTTAACCGCCCTCCTCCAAACCTCGAAGTCTTTATTTCCTTTATTTCTGCGCTAAAAGTCGAAATGTCAGCCTGAGAGGCGAGGACGTTGCATTTTCTTCCCCTCTAGAACAGAAAAGGGGGGAGAGGTCGAGGGGCTCAAGTCAGCTTCTCATTCGCCAGCTTCTCGGTCGAATTTTCCGTTCCACCTTAAATAGTGCAGCAGTTACATTCTGGCGTTGCACCATTTAAGGTGGAACGGGAAAATTCGAGAGAGAAGCTGGTGAATATGAAGCCAACTTAAGCCTCGCATGGGGCTTTCAGGGCTACCGTTTCCACATCATTATCTCTTTTTCTTCTTTAACCGCTTCGTTTTTAACTGTTGGAGGAAAAAGGCACGACGTCCACAGACGGGTGTAGCCTGGTCTACCGGACGGACGGGCGTTTATGTGCTCATTTCTTCGCTATATTAACCTCATTTTTACCTCAGAAATATTGTAAATAATGACAAAAACAAAAAATAATACCATTAACTCACACCTTTAACTGAAAAAACGGAGCCTAAGATATGCTGTTTTGCCTGCTTCCTTATGAAAAAGCCTGTGCTAGATAACACTTATATAGAAATAAAATGCTCGCCTTTTGCTGCCCGTTTGACGCTTCCTACCCCCCTTTTTACCCCCCACCCCAATTCTTGTTACCCGTTGGGAGAAACCGGGGATGTGGGCGTTTTATTTTCCCCACCCGTATTCCGACACGCCGCGCTAGGATTGGCTGGCAGTCCCACACTCATGCGTCATGATTGGCCAATAGAGTCCCTCCTCCTGACGTAGAGCCAATCTCAGCGTAGGAGGGTGGGGCTTTCCGGAATACGGGTGGGAAATAAACAACACGGGGTGTGTCTCCGTTTCTTTTCCAGAGCCAGCGCTTGATTGACAGGCGTTTCAGCCATTCAGAGCACAGGGTGTCTTTTTTCCTTTCTAAGGGAAACAAAGGGTTTGGGGAGAGTAGGGGATGACCCAGAAATGGGCTACTCGGTTAAATTATGGCCTAAATTTTGGAGCACATCGTCAGTGTATAATGCAAATATATAATATAATGCAGTGAAGTACACTTGCATGCATGAAGAATTTATATAGGTGGAATCATAACTGGGCTATGCAGAGTACTCATAGCAAATGAACAAATACTCTTAATTTTAGGATTATTTTACTTTATTAGGTATGGCCTAGTATGTTGCTTAACCTTTTTCTTACTGCGATCCTTTTTTGACATTATATTGCATGACCCCCTTTGCCAAGCCCCGGTTCTGGCCACTCCCCCCGAATCCCTTCCACTCCACACCCCCCCACACCCCCCCCCAACAACACACCAGTATACACATCAAAGAAATTGCAGAAGAGCAATCAAACAGCAAGTCTACTCCCTTACTGGGCCTGCATCCCTTAACTGACTGGGACACCTTTCAGTGGTCACTAGCTGTCAACTTCTTTTTTTTAAGTCAACGTTAACCTGTTTCCCATCCATATTGTGACGTATTCTCTCCCTTGGGAAGGTGGGAAGGGATTGGTAAACATGATATTATTGGTTAATTTTATTTTTTCCAACCTTTCTGGTGCACGATGAAATCATCAAACCTCAGAAGACATTTTGGAAGTGGGCAAAAGTCACCACACTTCAATTAAGGATTATAAGATTGCTAGAATTATGTCTTTTAAGTGGTGTAGAATGATGAACTGTGCTTAAAGGGGCACTGTGACCACACTGAGAAATGTTCCCATTAATATATCTATCGTAAACATGCCTATTTGCCTCTTACAGCAGTGCTGTAGTGATCTCTAGAATGAGGTTTTCCAGTTTAAAGGCTCCTTATGATGATGTATCTTGAAGGTGGAAGTAAATTCTAAAAGACTTCAAGTGCTTTGGGGTGGATACTGATCAACGGCCGATTGAGGTTAGTGCTGTACCACCACAGATGTATTTCTTGGCTGTAGATTAGTGGCTAGCAGTCAGGATTTGTTGAGTGCAGTAGGAGTTCCCAATAATTGCATGATGTATTAGCGTAATGCATGCTGGGTATTGTAGTGTAGTGATGGTGACAGAATGACAAAAAACATGAAAATGTGAATTCTGTCAAAGCGATGAGGTCGAGGGATGCAGAATACTAGATGACATATTAAATGCTAGTTTTAGTCTGGAGTGCCCCTTCAATATGACCAGAGACCAAAACTAACAATGGAAAAAGGGTCAATTTTGATATCAGTGATTAAGCAGCAGTGTAGGTGCATCTTTGCAGGATTTAGTATTCTGGCTTAGGCTGGATCAGAGATGCTCTTGCGAAAGAGAGAGATATCTGGAGATCTCCCTGGAGTCCTGTGCTCTCTCTCTCTAGCACAGATTCGCAGGCTGCTGGTTTTGACTAATATCACTGTCTGTTTTGTTGGTCTTAGCGTTTGCATTATTTACTTTACTGGGCAGAAATGATTTGTCTAATGAAGTCACATGGTATGCAAATATTGCATCATTTTTGCTGACGTGCATTAAAAGCCCGGTGCGTGTTTATTTATTTCAGGCCTGTTCACAGATGGACGAGCGCAGACATGTCGGCCAATCACCAGAGCTGCCTCCTGAAGCAGCTGGACCAGCAGCGGCGCCAGGAGCTCTTCTGCGACTGCAACGTGCTGGTGGAGGGACACCTTTTCCGGGCGCACCGCAACGTCCTGTTCGGCAGCAGTGGCTACTTCCGCATGCTGCTCTCGCAGGGGGCCAAGGACAGCCTGGAGCCGGTCAGCGCCTCCTTCGACGCCTTCAGCCCCGACATCTTCACCGTCATCCTGGACTTTGTGTACTCGGGCCTGCTGGAGCTCAACAGCACCAACGTCATCGAGGTGATGTCGGCCGCCAGCTACCTGCAGATGGACGACGTCATCGCCTACTGCAAGTCCTTCATCAAGTCCTCACTAGAGATCAGCGCCAAGGAGGACGACAGCCGCTACCTGTGCCTGTCTGATGGCAGCCCTCCGCAGGACGGAGGCGAGCAGGGCTCTGAGGAGCCAGTGGCCTGTGAGGTCAGC